AGATAGACAGATAGTCACACACACACACACACACGCCAACACACACACACATACACACACACACACACACACACACACACACGCACACATGCACCCACGAGATATGGTCACTCAAAATTAACTTGAAAAAATCATGTTTGGCATTATTGTGTGAAATCCAAGAACTTAAAGTGCGTGTACTGAGGTGTGTGCACTAAAACTAGAGGAATTGATCATATTTTTTGTCGACAATAAATGATATTTCATCACGATAGTTTGAAACCGATTGGAAAACAGAGCAGTGCAAATAAAAACGCAAAACTTGGACTTAACATTGCTTGTGCCCATTAGTATTTTTTTTTTAGGAGACATTGGTTTTGTAAAGAGTAGGAAGGCTTTGGGCATGGACTAGGTTAAATTTTGGGTATACACACACGTAATTATTTGTCCTTCCATCTGCAAATGTCACAGAGAGTTGCAGACAAAGCATCTGAAGTGGGGAAAAAAGTCACGTTTCATCAGCTGCTGTTTCATGGGTGTCCACACGTCTGTAGGATTCATATTGGGGCTATTTACTGAAGACCAATCTGTCTTTGGTTTGATTCGCTTTTCCAACAATTTTATTGTTTAAAGGTGTTAGCTCTGTGAGAAGATGCTTTGTCATGCATAAAGATGTCTACTTGAATGAAACCATGACGAAAATAAGGATACAACGTGACGTTCCAGCACTTGCGCGATGTAGTCCTCGAAATGAAGCCTGTTGTTGATTCTCACGAGTAGGGATATCATGTCCATTCCAGCCAGGCTACCTCAAACCAAGGCAGTTTCTTTGTCTCTCTTCTTCAGTGACAGATGATCATTTCCAAAAGCTAACTAATACAGTCTATGCTAGGAAAATGGTTTGTTCTCTGCGCGAAACCAATGGTTTTTAAACAAAATACTAATGAGAACACTTACAATTTAGCTTTAAATTGGTAGGCTGCAAGAGTGGGTAGTGCAAGGCTTTAACCCGGTGAATACATTTTCAAGTTTCTTTTGGACGTCACTGTCTGTGTGTGGGCGTGTGTGTGTGTGGGGGGGGG